ACCCCCAAGACACGAGGCAGACATAGAAAAAAAACCTGTTCTTGTTAATTTGATGAAAACATTTTAAATTTCCAGTGCACTCACATCAGAATAACTTATAGATTTGTTGTTAGAATAATCGATTAATCGAAAAAATAATCGTTAGATTAATCGATTAGAAAATAATCGTTTGGTACAGCACTACTAAAGCAAAACAATTGATTTCATTTTGAGTGTAAAGGCACTGTTCAATATTATGTTGGCAGCAAGATGCTGGAAAAAACAAACTCTCTGTAAAGCTCTGGTTCCTGAAACGTGCTTTAGACCCAGTTTGGCTTCTTTGTGTTTAATTCTGCAGACCAAGCAGTACAGGATGTTCCACGATGACAGTATGAGGTCGTTCTTTCGCCGTCTTTCGTTCACACCTGATGGGTCATTCCTGCTCGCTCCATGTACGCATACTCCATGCACCATAACCGGTCTTTAAAGCATGCCATACCTATTTGATTGAACCTGGTCGAATAGCTTAAAAAACTTATTTTTCTTTCTTTTTTTTTTTTGTCTGCACCTCTTAAAAACACAGCTGGGTGTGTGGAGATTGGAGAAAATGTTGTAAGCACCACTTACATCTTTTCCAGAAAAAGTCTAAAGAGGTAAAGTTTGTGGATTTTTTTTTATAAAGTTTTTACAAACTCCTGTAACTAGGATAAAATATTCTGCTCCTTTGTGTTAGACCCATCGCCCACTTGCCATGTCCGACTAAAGCCACTCTGGCTGTGCGCTGCTGCCCCGTCTACTTTGAACTCAGGACCAAAAAGGGAGAAGGTAACAAACAGTGGTTCTGGAGGCTGTCTGCTCTTAGTTTTATGTTTCTGKATGTGTTTTTTAATTTTCCTCCGCTTCTGCCTAGCAGATGGTTCGGCCCAGGCTCTTCCCAATTTGTTCCAGTTGCCGTACCGCATGGTGTTTGCAGTGGCCTCAGAGGACTCCATCTTCTTGTACGATACACAGCAGAGCATTCCATTTGGCCTGGTGTCAAACATCCACTACCACACACTCAGCGATCTGACATGGTAAACCTCAAACAGTACTGCTTTTTCTCTACAAACTTTTTAATGTTTGTATTAATAGAAATACATTGGAAATCGAATTAAAGATAATAAAGAATTCGTGGGACAAAAATAAATTATCACTAAATCATGATAAAACAAAATATATTGTATTTAGTAATAAAGGAATAAAAAAMTATGTCAAACTAAAGATAAATAATACTGAAATAGAAAGTGAATGAAATTTTTAGGAGTGACACTTGATTACAAATTGCATTGGAAAGCTCATTGAAAATGTAAAAGCCAAAATGTCAACAACTGTTGCAATATTAAATAAAAAATATATTTTCTAAGTTTAAAAACATTATATATGTTATACTGTTGCTTAATGCTTCCATACATCAAAAAGAAAGAAAATAAGTAAGTTCTCTGGATGGGTTCTTCTTTAGTGAAACGTTTCGTCTCTCCTCCAAGAGACTTCTTCAGTCTGATGAATTTCAGGTGAACTCAGCCTTATAAGCACTGCCTCCACATGGACAAACAGGTTAGTCATATGCAAAAGAGGGTCATCGCCTAACAATAGGCTTGATTAGTTCTATTTAGTCACATGCAAAAGAGGGCCATATTGTTAAGTGATGGCCCTCTTTTGCATATGACTAACATGTTTGTCCATGTGGAGGCAGTGCTTGTAAGATTGAGTTCACCTGAAATTCATCAGACTGAAGAAGTCTCTTGGAGGAGAGACGAAACGTTTCACTAAAAATAAGAACCCATCCAGAGGACCTACTTATTTTTTCTTTTGGATTTTTTTCAACCTTGATTACTGAGATGCATCAGGACA